ACCGCAGGCCGATGCTCTAACCGCTGAGCCAAACTGGCCAGGGCGGAAGCCAACATTTATTAAGCCACTGCATACTTATCTAGTTTAAATTTGCAACTGCTAAGGAAGCCTCATGTCAAGGAGGTTTAGGGAATGTATAAATGGTGAAATTTCATGGAGATCTTGAGAATATTAAAGTTCAAGAAGAAAAGAATAGTTAAAGATGTTGACTCTTGGAAAAAAAAGATCAATTATGATCATATGAATAATCATAGGTTTATAGAACATAATTAAGAAATAATTGGTAATCTTTGAGAGGCAATGTTTCTGCGGTAAAACAAAAACCATAAAATACAACAAAATACCCATATCTGGGCTGGGTATACTTCAGTACCACACTGCTTTGCATTTTATTCTTTGAAATGAGAGATCAATGTCATAATGGGTTTACTCTGGATAAACAATTTTTTTTATTCATGGAATATATGCCAAATACAATTGATGGGATAATTGTTATTGCCCTTGAAATTTTCCTCTTAGCGATAAATTAACATGTATCTATATTGAAGTGCAAATGGGACAAAATTTGAAAAGAATTAGGATAGAGAATTTAGCTAAGTTAGTTTTAAAAGGAAATACAAAACATTGTTATCATCACTTGTGCCTAGTTTTCATCACTTTTATCTTCATCAAATCTAAGTGTTATCTGTGTTCTATTTCAATAGGCACCAGAATTCACTTGGTGCCAAGTCCAGAACTCACGCTGTCTGTTGAGTACGACTGACGGAATAAATAGCCATTTGGTGAATGTTTCTTACAGTATAGTCCATGACCCACTTGCATCATAGAGCTTTCTGGAATGTTCACATTTGGAAGCAGGAGAGAGGAAAACAAGTCTAGAAATAAAAGAGTAGAGGAATTCCCGAGACCAGAAGATGCCAACCCACACTTACAGAATCAAAATCGCTGGGAGTTATTTTTTAAAAAAAGAAGCTATATTTTAAAGACAAGACTCAACCCTCAAGCTACACTTACACAGTAAAATTTTAAAAAATATTTTAAGTAAAAAATAAAATGTAATAACATTTTAGTGCTTAGTCTGGGTTTCTTGTGGTTGTGTTTGACTTCTCTCTCTCTCTCTCATTCTCTCAACTGTTAACTGTTTTCTTCCATTTTGTGTTGTATGAAAGGATTAAACAACACTCAATTTGAGGTGTTTTGTTTTTTCCTTGACAATATCTTCATTTGAAATACCTTTCTCTTTTGTTACAGTGTACAAGACTCTAATAGTGTGAACATCTTCAATATCAGAAGAGAGTCCAATATTCTTATTAATTACTTTTAGAACCTTCTGGAACGCTCATATTCTGGAACAGGTAGAAGAAAGTAGTCTAGAAATAGCACAGACTGGGAGAGAAACGGAGAGACACTGCCGACTGTGAGTCAATGGAAGAGACCATTTTAAAACGGACTACATGGGGGAAATATTAGAGATATTTTAAAAATATTTCAAATCCAAATGATTTTTATATTTTTGTTATATAAACTGAAATAAGAGTCTTGATCAAGCTTCTAATTAACTATATTTCTTTGTTAATCTCTGCTCCCTAGGAAAAATCATATTTTGTTCCTTTGAAAGAAAAAACATTTTAGCAATTTTGTTTTAGCTTGTGATGTCACAGGAGGAAAGTAATTTTTAGAGCAAAGCTTCAAAGATTTAATATAAGATAAATAATTCTTTTCGTCAAACTTAATATTAAATGTAACAAGACTGTAGGCACAATAATTCATTTTAATATTAAAATCAAACACAACTCTTTAGTCTAATTACTTTGGCATGTGAAAATACTAAAGACTCAAAAAATAACAATTAGTTAAAACTTGAAATGAGCAAAGAAAATATATTGAGAAGTTATAGATAGATTTTTTCTGTCGTTTATACATATAATGTTATCTCCGCCTTCAGATAAGCAGAAGGAAGACGCTGTGAAATGCAAGGCATGAGAACTTTGTTGTGATGATTTTTGGAAGGTGAGAAAGATCTGATTCTTAGTTGTTCACATCAGAAGTCATTTGACATTCTTTCTTTTAACCAAGTATTCATTAAGCACCTCCTATATACGTGGCCCTGTTTTAGCCCCTGAGGTCACAGCAGTGGTACAGGGCTGTGGAGAAAATAAAGTAAGAAAGGAAGTTTGGACATGGCAACAAATAAGGTGGTTCGGCAGTTTTGCCTGTGGGAGTAAGGACCTCGTTGAAAAGGTGACAATAAGACACGGTCATTCAGGGCATGTGAGACTGAGCCATGGATAATTTGTGTCGTGAGCCAGAGAAAGAGCATTCCAGGTAAACTGAGTAGGAGGAACAATTATCCTGGGGTATGCTTGCAATATTCAAGGAACAACAAGGAAGTCTCTGAAGATGATGTGGAGTGATCGGAGGAGTATGTAGAGGGGGTGAGATGGGAGAGGTCAAGGGGCCAGATTAGTATGCCTCACCCGTCATTATTCATAAGTGTTTTGGCTTTCATTGTATGTGATGTGAGACTCCTTTCCCAACAGAATATAAAGAAGGAAATGACGGCATTTTATTTATTCTGAAGGAATGTTCTGGTTGCTAGGTTAGGAAGAGATGATAAAGAAATAAGAGCAGACACAGGGAGACCTGGTAAAAGGATACAGCAATATTTGGTTTGAAAGATGGTGGTGGCTTGAACCACTGGTGGTAACAGTGGACATAAAAAGTGGTGAGATTCTGGATTTATTTTGAATGCAGAGCTGACATGATTTGCTGATAAATTGGATGTAGTTTGTGAAAGAAGTAAAAGTGACTAAGGATTTTTACCTGAGCAACTAGTAAGATGAAGGTGCTATTTACTGAGATAAGAAAGATTGCAAAAGAAGCAGGTTGGGGAGGGCCATGGTCATAAGTTTTATTTGGTGTATGTTAAGTTTGTGAATCCTATTGCATTTCTATTAGAGTTGTAGCGTAATCAGTGGTACATACAACCCTGCATTTTAGGGAGACATTCAAGTTGGAGTTATAAATACAGAAGAGAAAAACATGTATGTTGTCTTCAAAGCCACAGGCTGAAGATAGAAAAGACAAGAGGTCTAGAATGAATATCAGGGCCATGTTAAGAGACTGGGGAAAGGGGAGGAGCCAGCAGGCACTGAGAATCGGGACTGCAGGAGGTATTGCTTCATTGCTAAGTTCCTTTAGGGAGCATTGGCAAAGTATGGGCTCTAGCGGCCCTAAGTTTTTTTTGTTTCTTTTTACTTTTTGTGGGCTTCATCTGATCACTTGCCATTTACTCATAATTTGATTTGAATCTCAAAGTCTTGCTCCCCTCATGCCTGCATCACATTCATTTTGAGTATCCTTATTGGTAGTGTAGATTCATCTGGGTATAAAATGCATTTTTGAAAGCTGTCGAATGTAATTTTGGGATTCATCTGATGAATAAAATGGGCAATCAAGTTGGTTAATATTGCCTTTGATCAAATACTCGGCATGACTATTCAGTGACATCACCAAGTTTGCTGTGGGTCACCTGCCAGGTCTGAAAGGAACGTTAACAGGTGTGTTCTAAAATGTTTTGCAGTGACAACATTACTGAAATAAAAATTTAGTTTCCAAGAGGACTATTTTCCATTCATAATCATTTATCAGATACATATAGGAGTTCTGTTAACTTGATTAACACTATTTCTTAATATTCTATTATTTTATCACATATATTTTTACAGATACTTAAGTAAATCTTCATTTCTCAGCCTAAAAATTTCTTAAACAGTTGTTACTGTCATTTAAGATGATTGTCTAATCAAAAGTAATTGAAAATACTTATTTTAATGAGTAAAAGTTCTACAAAACCACATTTAGTAATATTGGCCCAGCTATGACAAAAAAACAAAAATGCTGATTATAAACACTATAGATTTACAAACAAACATCCTTGGGTATCTGGCTAATACTAAGTTTGTAACAGACATATCCCCTGTAAATTTTGACAACCATTTGCTCTCTGAACAAATATTTATTAAGTTCTAGCATGTTCCAGATGCATGCCATGTTGAGAAGAGTTTGCTCTTTTAAATCCTTCCAGTTGCATCCTGAGAGGTTTATATTTGTAAAGGAGAAAGCCCAAATAGTGCTACTGACTTTCTCCACATCTATAGTCTCCTGGAGAGCTTCACCATGTAGAGAACCCATTTTGACAAGACTAGAGGGGGACCGGAGAAGCTGGTGAGGCTTAGAGTTCCCCTTTCCTGTTCATTGCACCTAGACTCAGATCATTAATAACTTACCCTGGCTCACAGAAAGCTCCCTTTCTTGCTTGATGACGTGGCCCAATTGCTGTTCTTGCCTGTGACTTGACCCTGCCTCAGGGATGATGGAGTGTAATAGAAATAACACTTTTACTTTTCTTTAGAAACTAACTAGAGTTGTGCTAGGTTCTGGGATTGCAAAGGTGGGGATCCTGTCCTCAAACAATTTACTATTTTTTGAGAAAAAGAAATATCTGTGAGCAATTACATCAGAATCTGAAAACTGTTGTGGTGGTAAAATCTCAAGGTACGATGGGAATTTGGAGGGAAACCCTAAGACATCCTGGCTTCACAGGCAAGGTGCTGGCACTACTCAAAGAGATGAGTCAATTCTCCAGCAAGCTCAGCATGATGAATGGATGTAAATTCTTGAGACTGAGCTGTTTTTCCTTTAGCTCTTGAGCCTCTAGCTAGTTCTGCTTTCTCAAAGCTTTTTCACTAACTTTTCCCCAACACGTCGTTTTGAATAAAATCTAATTTTAATTGTAGGACTTTCCCTGTGAAATATTTTATAGTCCCTGAGGATTATAGTCATACTGAGGAAGAACACTGTAATTGGTTCATTGTTCCTCACTTAAACTTTGCGGCTGGCCCCATTTCTCTCACTAATGTTGACATTAATTGCTTAGCAGAGGCAAGTGCTTTTTAAATGTAGGTTTCCACGTTTCTCATTAGATATGACAAACTTACAATGTTTTTCATGTGTTTCACTAGTATGGTCAGCTTCACATCTTCATATGATATCACTAACTGTACCTTAGGCACCTTGTCAGGAAACTTCTCACCTGATAAAACAATAGAATTTCAGTGGGTTACATTGGAAATGGCTCAGCATAGTATAAATTAAATGTTTAAACATTAAAACAGGACCAATGGATAATATGCAAAAGAAACATTCTTTGGATCTGCTGAAAACATAATACTTTCTAGGAATCTGGGTTGTATCTAATCTTCCTGAACCAACTCTTTCTCCTCATGTTCCATGTTTTATTTTGATCAATACCATTATTTTCTTAATTATTGAAGCTTGAAACCTCAGTGTCATTTTTGGTCCAATTTTCTCCTCAATTTTCAGTACAATGAGCTTAAATAATTAGAGAGCACGGAGGTCGAAAGTGTTGGTATTAGAAGTTAGTGTGTCTGGGGTTCAGTCCCAGCACTATACTTAGACTGTCATCGCGACTAGTTAACTTCTGTAAAATGAAGATACTAGTTACATACTTCAGGATAGTTAAGATGATTAACTGATAAAATTCAAAAACTTTTCACAATATAATCTTAATAAATGTTTGTGATTACTAATATTCTTTCTCCATATATTTGCAGTCATCTCTTTTTCCCTACTTCCATAGCACCTAGTTCAGAATCACATGGATCTTTTGCCTGAACTTCTAGAACATTCTCTTTCCCTTCTCTAGAACCCAGACCTATTTGTACACAGTTACCAGTATAATCTTCCTACAGAAACATTTATAAAAATAATCTTTTGATCAAAGTACTGTTCATAGCTTTCCATTGCTTATGAAAACAAGTCTGAGTTTCTCAACCTAGTACTGTAACTTCTTCTTAAATCTGTTTTATTCCCACTATGATTATTCCATACTGTAGCCTGTGCGTTCAGTTCTACAAAATTGCTCTGCTGTTTTCTTCTAGTCATTGCTCACATTATTCCCCCTTTTCTGAAATGGTCTCTTCCACCATATTTGGCTATTGAACTTTTACCTTTCTACAAGATCTACTTAAAATGCAAAATAGTTTCTGTGGTCACCTCCTACTGAACCCCCTTAGATCAGTTTGTCACTTAATATTTATATCGTAACTATCTAACATGTCTCAAATTTGCTTTGGGGATTATAGTTCCCTTTAGGGCTTACATTTTTTTTCTTATATCTCTAAGAGATATTAATCGGTACTTGCTCCATACTGTCACAAAAACATTTATTTAACAACAAAAGTAACCTCATTTTTTCTTTAAAGTTATATAATTTCATTATTAATATGAGGGCTTTAGTTTCATAATTAAAATTTTTCAGTTTATAGCTCAAGGATTAAGCATAATTTACAGTTTTTCTACTATTTCCCTTGGCAATCTGTACTTGTATGTTCTCTGAGAAAAGTTAGAGAGAAGAAATTTATCAATAACAAGGAACTTGGCAATGTTCTGTTGTGGGCATACTTTGGACTCCTTGTAGCACAGTGGGTTTTCCGATGGTCAGTCTCAGCTCTCTAATCCTCTCTAACATTTGAAAATTAAACTTGAGCTGTATGTTTCCTCTCCCAAAGCCTTTTACATGCTTATTAGGATAGTTTGCACATCGTAAGAAGATAATAATAATTAATTTTATTAATCTGAATTATTGACATTAAAGTAATTAAACTTTGAATGTTTCTTACAACTGAAATGGTTATTGCATAAATATAATAAAACACTTTGTCCCTTCAAATATCTTGATTACAATGACTAAGAGAGACATTGTGAGTTAGACCATAAAATAATTCTGAGTGTAGTAGTGTATTTGAATTTTGTAGGTAAATTGGATTTTATAATAAAAATATACAATGTTGAACTTTTGTTATGAACATGCTAAAAGTGCTGATAACTTTTTGATGTACAATAAAAATTATTTTTGAATTAAAGAGTGAAAAGATTATTAGATAGAAACTCAATATGTTTAAGCAGAGGAGTTTTAATTCAAAGGTAAAAAATGTATGATTGGATATCTAAATGGTAACCAATTTAAATAAACTGTTACTTGAACTGACTTAATTTAGTATTGTACCCTAAACCTCTCATGCAAAATTTGTAACCAGAGTATCCATAAAAACATGCTAGAGTCCAGAACCCAGTGAAAATTTAGGCCTCTAGGAAGTCTTAGTAATAATATAGCAATAGTAGAGGTACTTAGTATTTCTAGAACTCTTACTATGTGCCAAACATAGTAAGAGCTCTGTGTACATGAACTCATTAAAATCCTCACTTCTGTTTTACACATGAGAAAATTGAGGCATCGGTGTAACATCATGCAGACAATAAATGGTGCAGGGTTAAATGATCTCTAAAGCCTGTGTTTTTAAATATCATGCTAAAAGGGAGCAGACAAGAGGGCAATAATTTAAGGGAATGAGTTTAAATGAAAAATCCAGAGAGGGAGAATTTTGAGAATAAATTCATATGGACAAGAAGATGCTAGAATATCTTGATGTTTTGCTTCCAGTTAGTCTTAGGGATCTGATCATGCTTGATCTAACTATGTATAGCAATCCAAGAATTGTTAAACTATTATTGATCCTAAGGATGATTGTGTTGAAATGCTTGAATGCATGGTTCTTCAGTGGTTAGTACAGTGCTTATTATATATAATGTGTCCATTAATGCTGAAAATAGTATTTCAAAGTTTAACTTTTTAACAAATTATATTTTATTGAATTTTTAGAGACAGAGGAAGGGAGAGCGATAGAAACATCAATGTGAGAGATATATATAAGTTGGCTGCCTCCTGCACGCCCCCCACTGGGAAATTGACCCTGCAATCCCGACAGATGCCTTGACTGGGAATCAAACCAGAACCTCTCAGTCCATGGGATGATGCTCAACCCACTGAGCCACACTGGCCAGGCTAACTTTTTTCAGATGATAATATATTCATATGATTAAAAAATGAAAATTTAGCCCTGGCCAGTTTGGCTCAGTGGTTAGAGCATCGGCCTGCGGTCCGGAGAGACCCAGGTTCGGTTCCCACTAAGGGCATGTACTTCGGTTGCAGTTTGTCCCCGGCCCTGGTTGGTCGTGCGGGTGGCAGCCACTCGATGTGTCCCTTCACATCGATGTTTCTCTCTCTCTCCCTTCCACTCTATCTGTACAAAAAATGGAAAAATATCCTCGGGTGAGGATAAAAAAAAATAAAAAAATAAAAATGAAAATTTATTTTAGAAGTATACAGTAAATAATCTTCCTCTGATTCCTAACACCTATCCACCCAGTTCCCCCACCATTAATTAATTTGTTTCTTTTACACCCCTCCAGAAGGACATATATTCTTCCAAAGTTTCTCCATGGAAGCAAATATGAATAAGTATTTTTATCCCCCCGCCCTTTCCCCACAAAAGAAATAACATATTTACTATTTGACACAAAGATCTTGGAAATGTTTTCATATCAAAAATACAAATCTCTATTTAAAAATATAGTTTCATATTATCCTATTACAGGAAAATACCATCATTTATTTAACCAGTTCTCTTTTGATGGGCAGGTGGTTTGTTTCCAGCATTTCCAGCTGTTAGAGACCAAGCTGAAATGAATAGCCTTGTGTGTGTATCATTTTGTACCTGTGGACAAGTATCATAGGATAAATTCAACAGGAGACTTGCTGGTGAAGGGTATTAGCATTTGTAATTTTGATAAATGTTGCAAATTGCCTTCCATAGAGGTTGTTCCAATTTGCATTCCCACCAGCAGTGAATGAGAGTGCTTGCTGGTTTGTATCCAAGCTTGTTAATTAAATTTTTGAATTTTTGCCAACCTGATGAATTAAAAATGTTATCAGAGTAATTTTAATTAGCATTTTTTCTTATGTGTGAGGTTGAGGATCCTTTCATTTGGTTAAGAGCCACTTGAATTTTCTTATTTTGGTGAATTATCTTTTTGTACTTTTCTGTTTGATTGTTGGTCTTTTTCTTATCAATTTACAAGATATAGTTATAATCCACCCTTTGTCCAAGATAAATTGCAAATATTTTACCCATTTTGCATTTATCTTTGTATATTTATGGGTTTTGCTCTGGTGTTTTATATCATGCAGAATGTTTTTGGCTTCTGGATTTACAGTCAGAACTATAACAGCTTATTCCAAGATTATACAGAATTTCTTCCATGTTTTCTTTGTCAAATATATGGTTTCATTATTTACATTTAAAATTTTTTATCCATTAGGCATTTATCCTGACATATGTGGGAAATATGCTATCACAAAAAATATTTATTGAATTTTCCCTAAAGTCTTGCCACACTTTAAATCCTGAGTGTACTTGACTCTATTTATGAATATTCTATTACGTTGCATTTATTCATCTATTTATGCTCTGACACCACACCGTTTTAATTTTTGAGGCTTTGTAATGTGTTTCTAATATCTGGTAGGAGGAATCTCACCCCTTTTCTCTGCTCTTGCTATTTTTCTGGCTCTGTTTATTTATGAACTGTAGAATTAGTTTATCTAGTTAAAAATAAAATTGTTAATATTTTCAAAAACTATATTTAAAAATTAAATTGGAAATATCTGACATCTTTATAATATATCCAAGAGCATACTATGTCTTCCCATTTGTTCAAGGCATCTTTCAAATCCTTCAGTGGTGTTTTTAACGTTTTTTTTTTTCCATTTGGTCTTGCACATTTCCTGTTATATTTACTTCTAGTTTTTTTGTTGTTGTGTGTGTTTTTTGTGCTATTGTAAAATGGAATCTTTCCATTTCCAGATAGATAGATAGATAGATAGATAGATAATAAAATTTGTAGGCAATTTTAAGCTGATTCTTATTTTCTAGGTATTCAAACATATTACTGGCAAACAGTGTTGATTTTGTCTTTTCCTTGCCAAAATTTATGCTTTATTTTTCTATTTAGTTATTTCACAAATATCCATTAACCTATTATGAAAAAAGTTACTGTTCTAGGTCCTTAGAACAGGTCAGACAAAATTCCTGATGGCATTTCTACAGTAGTATGGGGGAGATATAAAAAAACAATAAACACAATAAATAAGTAAAATTTATAATATGCTGA